AGCCCTGCCGGCTGCCACTCCCGAGGAACAGCGACACCTGCCGGGCCGCGTTCTGTTCATCCCCAACTCTTTCAGCCTAGAAAAGACCTACAGCAAGCAAGGGCCATCAAATGCACCATGGTGCATTTGAACCCCCTCTCCCCCGGGGGTGGGCGAGGGAAGCACGGGGGCGGTGCTGGCAGGTTTTTAAAGGCAGAGCTCACTGGGCGGTGTTGCCGTTCCCTCTAATCCCAAATGTCCTGAGGCAGAGGCCGGTGGATCTCTGAGAGTTCGAGACTAGCCTGGTCTACAGAGCGAGTTCCAGGATAGGCTCCAAAGATACAGAGAAACCTTAGTGGGGGCGGGGGGAGACAAAAAAAAAAAAAAAAAAAAAAAAAGGAAAGGCAGGCTCAGCCTGGAGTGGGCGTGGCCGCATCTCAAGCAATAACCAGGATGGGGACGGAGCTTGTGGGTATTTGAGAGGTCAGGGAGGGGCCTACGAAAAGGCTCACCCCTGGGTATGGGAGTTTGCTCACAAGCCTGACTACCAGGGGTTCCATCCTTGGGATCCATTTGGTGAGACATGGTTAAAGGACAAAGTAATTCCAGCAAAATCGCCGTCCACAGGGGAGGCGTGGGATGCGGCGCTCACACCCCTCGCACTGGTTTCCAAATCTGACTGAGTTCGATTCCTTGAACCCATATGGTAAAAGACTTAAAACCAACTCCTAAATGTTGTCTTTTGATGCCCACAAACCTATGTGCGTCTCCCTGAACATGTGCTGGCTAAATAAGAGGTCACACAAGAGTGGAGGTGGCCTCGAGCCAACCCTCTTAATAACCGCACTATTTTGGGCGTGGTGGCGCACGCCTTTCATCTCAGTACTCTGAAGGCAGAGGCAGGCAGATCTCTGTGGTTGAGGCTAGCCTGGTCTACGTAAGGAAATAAAACAAAAAACAAAAAGACCAGATGCCCCAGGAGTCCAAATGAAGAGAGGCAGGGAGTCGGACGGTGGTGGCTGAGGCAGGAGGATCTCTGTGAGTTGGGGGCCAGCCTGATCTACAGTTCCTGAACAGCCTCCAAAGCTACAGAGAAACATTGTCTCGAAAAACCAAAGAAAAAAGATGAGGCAGGGGACCCACCAAGTACTCTTTTTAACGCATTTGCCGCCTCATCCTGAGACCTACATGGTGGAAGGAGAAAAACCTACGGTCCTGGGCTGTTCGCTGACTTCCACACATGTACACACTAAATGAATAAATAAATGTAATTTTTTTTTTTTAAAGCCAGAGAGTAGGCGTGCACTCGACTAGTGCAAGGAAAATGAGACAGCGGGTAGGGCTACTATGCCTTTAAGGAGTTAGACTCCTCCCCTGGGGGCGTGGCTAAGGCCGGCGCCTTGAAAAATAAGCAGAGAGGCAGAGATCGGCAA